AATATAGGTATGCATACATTTACACGTTTTTTTTTTAATTCCCATATTCTGAAAGGCAAGTGAAAGAAGTCAAATTCTGCAAAAAAATGATATGAAATCAGTCACTTCCCCTGAAAACCCCTCTCAAAAAAAAAAAAAAAAAACTGAGAAAATGTACCTCACTTTTCCCACCTGCCAGCATACACACAAGGTGGTAAGACTAAGAGAGAGTGAAAGTGTTTGTGTATGTGTGTAGAAGGAAATCACTCTTTGCTACGTCTCAAGCCCAGTACTGCATTTTTAATCATGCTTTAAATAGCCTAATACAGAACACGCCATGACCAGAACACTTGTCTTTTGTCCAGAGTGTGTATGTGTGCAAAACAGAAATACACTTTAATGTAATTGCTTTGTTTTATGCTGAATTACTTTGTTTTCGTGCAAGTATGTTGGCACACAAATAGTATACAATTTTTTCCCTATTGGCCCACTGTATCTCTGTCAAAAAATAAAATAAATAACCTGCTAGTCATTATCTAGAGGTTGTGACTTTCTTTCAAACAGCAGCGGGCGCTCAACCTGGACTTTGTTTTTCCTTCTCTAAGAAAAATAGTTCTGTCACACATGAAAAGCTTATTCCCTGCTACAAAACTTTCAACCTCTGTAGCACCAGTGCTATGTGAAAAAAAAGTTAACGTACAGCCCTGGGTAAGAGAGAGTGAAAGTGTTTGTGTATGTGTGTAGAAGGAAATCACTCTTTGCTACGTCTCAAACCCAGTACTGCATTTTTAATCATGCTTTAAATAGCCTAATACAGAACACGCCATGACCAGAACACTTGTCTTTTGTCCAGAGTGTGTATGTGTGCAAAACAGAAATGCACTTTAATGTAATTGCTTTGTTTTATGCTGAATTACTTTGTTTTCGTGCAAGTATGTTGGCACACAAATAGTATACAATTTTTTCCCTATTGGCCCACTGTATCTCTGTCAAAAAATAAAATAAATAACCTGCTAGTCATTATCTAGAGGTTGTGACTTTCTTTCAAACAGCAGCGGGCGCTCAACCTGGACTTTGTTTTTCCTTCTCTAAGAAAAATAGTTCTGTCACACATGAAAAGCTTATTCCCACATCATTCTCCCTCATGGATTCAGGTGACCATTTTTGTTCTTTAAATATTTCATTGGTCTTAGTTAGATGTGCCCCAGACTCCTTAATTTCTTACATGCTGCAGTACTTTCTTTGTCTACCATTACGTATTCATTTTTACAAGCCCAATAAACTCACCTCAAATCCTGACAACAAATTCTGAGAAAATACTATGTTCACTGCCTTCCTTTCTTCTGTGTAACATAAAAGAAGATATTTTGAGAAATGTCTCTGTGTTTATTCATCCATACAATGGAATTTAATGGTCACCAAAATCAACATTCTTTAAAATCTGCTATTGTGTTCCACTGAAGAAAGTCAGTCAGGTTTGGAACAACACAAGGGTAAGTGAACGATGACAGAATTTTCACTTTTATGATTGCCTTTAAAGGAATAGTTCACCCCCCCAGATTTGGAGAAATTTAGCACCATTCACTTGCTCACCTATGGATCCTCTGCAGTGAATGGGTGCCGTCAAAAGGAGAGTCCAAACAGCTGATAAAAACAACCAAAATCAACATTCTTTAAAATCTGCTTTTGTGTTCCACTGAAGAAAGTCAGTCAGGTTTGGAACAACACAAGGGTAAGTGAACGATGACAGAATTTTCACTTTTATGATTGCCTTTAAAGGAATAGTTCACCCCCCCAGATTTGGAGAAATTTAGCACCATTCACTTGCTCACCTATGGATCCTCTGCAGTGAATGGGTGCCATCAAAAGGAGAGTCCAAACAGCTGATAAAAACATCACAGTAATCCAAAATTGTCACTTTTGGTTAAACTATTCCTTTAAGGCCTTTTTCACAATGCACACACAAACATTGTAAAAGTTAAGTGGCAGCATAACTGCAACAACAGTCTCACATGCTTTCACACAGACAGGATTTCTGCTGCAGAAAAAAAAAATCTTATTTCGGCCATGTGAATATGATGTACCACGTGAATGCGAAGGAATTTTTCATATACATTTTTCACAGGTGTTTTACTCGTACAGCATTGCATTTTTTGCTTTAGGGTTGAAGGAAATGTTCATACGCTTAACTGAAAATGTACTAGTAATTCTCTTTCTGTTTTTCTGCAGATTTTTGTTTTTTCTAACAGTGTAGGTTACTTTTTCTGTTAGGCCTATATGTCATAAATTATATTTACAAAAAGGTGATCAAGAGTTGTCCATTGAGAGGTATTACAAACTTACTGAAATAACTTCAAAATCACATTTACATCCAAATGATAATAACTGTACTCTATACACAAAATGGAACCCACCCCCAATATGTGGTTTAAAGACTGCTTACATCTAAAATCAGTCTCTTTTTTCATACAGTGGGAAAGTAGTTTGCGCCATTATTGTATATTTCTTCATAAAAGCCTATATGCAAAAAAATTGTGGTAATAAATAGCTTTATAGCGCATTTTTTTCCGCTGAGTTCAGTGTGACACACAGCAAAAACAGGCTCAGCAACAAACTCTATGTTCAGCGGCACGCCAGTGAGGCTTCTGAGGCGCAACGCTGCTCACGCGCACAGTGGGAATGCTGTAACCTGTTAATATGGGTACTGAAATAAATATCCGTTGTTCACGTGACAGATGCTGTGTGTGTGTGTGTGTGTGTGTGTGTGTGTGTGTGTGTGTGTGTGTGTGTGAAACAGGCCTAAGTACTGAAACTGTGGAGGAAAATTGGGTTCGACATTGTCAATGTAGGTAAACTGTGAACATGTGTTTAGTCAGACTTATGACCTGTATGCTTATGATTTATGAAAATGTAAGACTGTATGCTGAGGGTCTGTATCAGTGTTTAACAATGTTTAGACTGATATAGAATCTCAAGTGTAAATAATTAATTTTAGATTAATTGAAAATTTTGATTTTGATTTATTTGTATTTTTCCAGAGGAGCTTTACGGAAAATAGAAAAATAAAGAAGAAAAGGGAATTGAAAATAATGGCTAAAACAAAAGTGACAAGTAGGGATGCACCGATACTGGTCTCCCGTACTCGTACTCGTTAAAATGCCCCGATACCAAACGCCGATACCACACAGCACCAAGGAAAGAATATACTAACAAACAGAATAAACTTTGGGAAGAACCAATACTTTTTTCTGTCATTTACTGAAAATTTAAGAACACTGACAGATAAATCAATATGCCTCCTATTAATTTGCTCAATTAACCACAAACAAGTTCTATTAATAGTAAGGACTAATTGCTGTTTCTACAGTAGGGGATTGCTAAAAGGGATTACATCTGAAGAAAATGTTAAGCAAAGCTTTAACATGTCACTAGTTTTTAGCAAGTGCTGAGTGAGACTCCCAGGGCACAGGTTTGAACAATGCCAGGGGTGGCTCAGGTATAACATGGAGCTAATATACATCAGAATGGGCATCCCAAGGTGTGAGAGCATAAAAGCAATGCCAAGAGAATAGATATTAGTGGCTCTAATAAAGTATGGAGACATTTACATCTTGCAGGCATTTTCATCCAAAGTGACGTGGTTCATGAGCTCACGTGATCCCTGCTACTGTTTGTGGTTGGGATGCCAATTTATGTACTTTGAGCTCCATTGTTCCTCAAGCCTCTTAAATGAATGTTTTGGGTTCAAAACAGCTTAAGCTCTATTATTGTCTGTGGTAATCGACAGCATCTGTGTCATGCTGAGACAATATTTAGTGCTCATCCTTCAGTTTTAAAGAAAAAAAAATAAAAAATTATCTTTCAATTCATGAGCTGTTTAAATTTTTGCAGCTGTAGACCAAATAGCTAATGCAAAAATATCCACGAGGTCACACCAAAAGATGTTAAATGAACTGTATTTTTGTCCTTGGCATTTGGCAATAAAGGTGTTTATGGTCAGTAGCCATTTTTTGGACTTTAAAATACTTTTACGGCATGTTGTACAGTATTTTAAGGTAGGCTACTGTATACAGTATAATTGACTTTCAAAATGAAATATCTTCATTTCTAATGTACCTTTTTCCCCACTTTATTGTTATTTATTTAATATTATATGTAAATATAATATTAAATACTTTTTTCACTAAAATGTACAGAATATATATATATATATAT